GTTTCTTTGTTTTTAAAGTGTTCCATGTGCAATATTAAATCAACTTTCAGGTTACAGAAATCCATAATGATGACAAGTAATCCTATCTAATAATAGACAAACATGGTAATTAACCGTACCTCTGACATGCTTCCCATTGGCTAATCAGGGCGATATGCAAATTAACTGCCAACCAAGATGGCAGCCGGCAGCCAGGCAGCTGAAGCGAACAGGAGGCTTGCTTGCTCCAGTGGTGGAGGAAGCCAAGGTTTCCCACCTGCCGCTGCCGGCCTCTGAGCTGCAGTCTAAGAAACAATGTTGCAATTATAGAAGCTAAACAATCCCCAGAAACCTGCTTTCAGCCAGCCGGGCCTCAGAGCTGGAGTTGCAACAGTGTTTCAATTATAGAAGCTAAACACAGCCCAGATACCTGCTTTCAGCAGCCGAGGTCTCAGAGGTGGAGCCGAGCCTCAGAGCTAAAGCCGGCTCTCAGCTCCAGTGACAGCCATAGAAGGTAAATAAATCCCAGAATAAAAAAAACACACACACAAAAAAACAGAAATAAAGGAGAGGCTGGGAGCTTCAGTTGCCCGCCAGCCTGAAAACGGCCCTCAGCCCCTCACCCAGAATGGCCAGGCACCCCAGTGGGGACCCCCACCCTGAAGGGGGTGTGACCAGCTGCAAACAGCCATCATCCCCTCATCCAGGCTGGCCAGGCACCCAAGAGGGACCCCCACCCTGATCCGGGACACCCTTCAGGGCAAACCAGCCAGCCCCCACCCGTGCACCAGGCCTCTATCCTATATAGTAACAGGGTAATATGCAAACTGACCCTAACAGCAGAATGACTGGGAATGACTGGTCACTATGACACACACTGACCACCAGGGGGCAGACGCTCAATGCAGGAGCTGCCCTCTGGTGGTCAGGGTGCTCTCACATGGGAGGAGCTCTGCTCAGCCACAAGCTAGGCTGATGGCTGCCAGTACAGCAGTGGTGGTGGGAGCCTCTCCTGCCTCCTCAGTAGCACTAAGGATGTCCGACTGCAGTTTAGGCCTGCTCCCCGCTGGCAAGTGGACATCCCCCGGGGAGCAGGCCTAAGCCAGCAGGTGGTCATCCCCTGAGGGGTCCCAGACTGCGAGAGGGCACAGGCCGGGCTGAGGGACCTCCCCTCCCCCCCCCGAGTGCACAAATATTTGTGCACCGGGCCTCTAGTACTTTTGTAAAAGATCAGCAAGCAGTTAAACAAGAATAATTTTTTCAAGTATGAAGACATTAAAAGATGAAAAAAACTCTTTAGGCACATTCTAATCCAAATAAAGCCAAAAATAAAATGTTCACTTGTATATTTAAGGAGGGATATAGAGGTCCTAAGAAGGAATGTCAGGTTGTCAGAGACAAACATTGGTATATAAACTCAAAATGGTTTTGAATATTTTGGTAACAAATATTGTCCAACAAAAGAGGAACAAAAATACTTATCAGAAATAAGGCAACAAGTCTGTCCACTGTTCAGAAGCTATATCATAGAATGTTTTGGGGGAAATTTCATAGCCAATAGTTACTTCATCCATGTTATCATCACTGTCTGTACAAGATCATCTCCAGTGTCAAAGTATGAATGTAGTCATTTTCCTCTTCTTGCTCTTCTTCATCATATTCCTCTTCTCCGGTATCATCTTCCTCATGATCAGGATCTTTTTTACCTTTCTCCTTTCTTCCTTCTTGCTCTTCACTTTCCTCATTGAATTTTCCACCATCGCCAGTTTTCCAATTTCTCAGTTTTTTTCAGCACATTGTCAGTATTAATGAGTGAGGTGTCTTTGCCTGTATCATTCAGCTTTTTGGATTTGGGACCTGCTTTCTTTGTATTTTTTCCTTGGTATCATCTCTTGAGAGTTCACTCTTTATACACCTTCATATATCTTTTACCATATCTTTCAATATCTTGTTTGTCTTCATATAACATAATGTATATTCCACCAATGGATGGCATTCTCAACTGTACCAGTGAGATTAGCAGTTGCCTCTGTATTCGTGTTTCTATTTACTATTCTTTCATTTCATCTTGAAGAACTTCTTTTCGCATTTGTAATAAGTCAGGTTGAGTGGCGATGAACTTCCTTAGGTTTTGTTTGTCTGAGTAAGTATTTCTTCTTCTTTCTAAAGAACAGGTTTTCTGGCTAATGTATTAATGTTTTTTTATGAAGTATTTTGAATATATCATTTTATTTTCTCCTGGACGGCAAGATTTATTGGGTGAAGTCTACTTAAAACCCTTATTCGGTCGTTTTCCGGTATGCAAGGAGTTTCCCTTGTGCTTTCACAATTCTCTTTGCCTTTGATTTCTGATACTTTGATTATGCTGTGTCTTGGTGAAGTCCAGTTTGCATTGGATCTATACAGGGACCTGTGAGAGTGCATGCACTTGATTATTCACATCTCTTATTTGGGGAGTCTATCTTCAGCTTGTTTTTTAAAATAAACTTTCTACACCTTTTTCTTTTTCCCTCCCTGTTCTTTCTCTCTGTCTCTTCCCATCCCCCAGTATTTCCTAGGATTCCGATAATGCAATATCGGCTCTCTTAAAGGTGTTACTTAATTTACATTGCTGTATTCTTTACATTTATTTTTCTTTTTTTCTCTCCACCTGGATTTATTTTAAATGACATGTCTTTGACATCATGTATTCTTTCATGTCTGATTTTGATACTCTTCATTCCATTTTTTCATTTCACTCATTGTAATTTGTCAACTCCAGCATTTGTTTCATTCTTTTTTTTTTTTTTATGATTTCTGTCTATCCGATATTCTCCTTTTGCTTCTGTGTTGGTTTCTTTATTATGTTGGTTCTATTTGTGTTTTCTTGTAGCCCACGGTTGTTTTTAAAAGTAAATATTTTAAATGGATTCCTCATCAGGCTGTACATAGATCTCCATTAGTTTTGTATTGATTAGTGGAAAATTATTATGTTGTCATGGTGGTGTCTTTGTTTTTAGTATTTAATTCAGACCTGTGTTGCTGCCTCTACATTTGATGAAGCAGTTGCCCTTTTATTCCTTTCAGCCCTAAGGAACAATTCTGGGCGTGAGAAATAGATTTATCTGCATGTGGAATCAAAGGTGGTCGCTGGGAGAGGTGTTGTTTTGATCTTGAGAACAGGTTCAACAGCCTTGCCTCCTTGATGTCCTATGAACTGAGGTCATAACAACAATGTGTGAGTCCACAGTGGATTTGGCAGCAATTTTTTTTCCATAACGATTGAGGGTCTTGGAGTCTGTGGTGGAAAATACTGCTTAGGTATACTGATTTTTGTTTCTTTTCTTGAGTAGGTTGCGGCCAAAGATATTTCTTTTATAATTCATGCCAACAAACTGAGTCCTTTGATGTGTTGTGGGGAGTTCGCAGATGTTACATGGACTTTTGTGGTTTTTTAAAACAAAATTTTCACCGTAACTGGTTTGGCTCAGTGGATGGAGCGTCTGCCTGCGGACTGAAGGGTCCCAGGTTCGATTCCGGTCGGGGGCATGTACCTGGGTTGCGGGCACATCCCCAGTGGGAGGTGTGCAGGAGGCAGCTGATCGATGTTTCTAACTCTCTATACCTGTCCCTTCCTCTCTGTAAAAACTCAATAAAATATATTTAAAAAAAACAACAACAACAACAACAAAAAATTTTCCAGCGATTTGTATAGAAAAGGCCACCAGCATCAGTGGCTGATAGAGGTAACTCCAACCCTTGTTTTTGACTGTAGCCATCTTCAAATATATTTGCTCAACCAGTTTTCCCAATCATCCTTTCTATGCAGTTCTCCCATTTTTTCTCTTCTGCACTGCTGTTTGTCTTTATTGGGTGCTAATTACCATCTGCTATGTTTTCTTTGTTCATGGATAGCTCTCTACTTGTACTGTTGTACTGGGAGGGAGATGAATTCTTCGGCCATATTCCTGGTGTCACTCACATAGGTTTTTTTTGTTTATTTGTTTTTGTTTTTACTGTGGTTACTTTTGTGCTTTGTTATACACAGTGCTGGCCATCCAGCTCTTTAGGTTTTCTTTTAGGATTTTTATCATCTATTTCCCATGTAGTAGTTCAACTGGGATTTCAAGGGGAAGAATCATTTGTGCATCACAGGAGAAACATGACTCCATCCATGGCAGGGAGGACCCAGTGGCAGTCTTGCCAGGGTGAAGGGCTGTTGGAGAGGAATTGATGCCAGGGTTTTGTTAAGTCCTAACTAGGAACCAATTTTGTTCATCAGTATTTTGTTACCATTGCCAGTTCCCCACTCCATTCTACTTGTTCTTTCTTATTGTTGACACTTTGCCAACTAACTACTCAGTTTCAATATTTATCATTTCTGCTCAGTTTCCCAGCACGTGGATAATCTTCGCTTCTCTAAATGATGCACCTCAACCATTTACCCCACAGGTCTCTCTTTACTACTTTCTATCCTTGGTCCATGCCTGCAGAACCTTGGAGTGTGCATGTGTCCTTATATTGACCTTGAACATCATGTGCTTTAATACTATGGGGTTTTTTTTATGCGATTGAGCACATTCAAGTTATTCTACACAAACTCACATCACCAGCATGAAATCTCCCACAGAAGACATTGTGAAGAAACAGCTAGTGGCCCAGCCGGTGTAGCTTAATTGTTGAGCGTCGACCTATAAACCAGGAGGTCACAATTTTATTCCTGGTCAGGGCACATGCCGGGGTTACAAGATCAATCCCCAGTAAGGGGCATGCAGCCGATTGTTGATTTTCTTCCACCATTGATGTTCCCCTCTCTCTTTCTCCCCCTTCCTATCTGAAAGCAATAAAAATATATTATAAAAAAAGAAGGAACAATTAGTGGACCCTGCCTCTCTTCTAGTGCACCTTGCCTCTGTTCTTAGTGTCCTATCATATGCTCATGTCCCTCCCTTGGTGAGGTCTCCACCATTGGTTGACCTTTGGGGTCAAGTAATATATAACTGCCTTTCCCTCAGAGTCTCGCTTGTCTTGAAAATCATAAAATCATGCCTAATCATGACAGATAAACATTTGTGGTGAAGATATTCTGTTTTCATAAGGTCAACATGTACCTCACCAGCGTTTCCTTTTGTTCAGGTTGCTGCTGTGGAGCAGAGAATGTGGAGGCACCGATTGAGCAGAAGGTTTCTGTAAGAGCGTCACAGGCAAGGAATCCCAAGGTAGCCTTGTCTTCCCAGAAGAGCCACCCCTGTGATGGTTGTGAGCCAGTCTTGAAAAATATTTTCCACATTATTGACCTACAGGGAACACAACGCAGCCAGATACCGTTGAGGTGCGGGGCATGCGCAAAACGATTTTATTTCAGTACAAAATTTCACCAGGACCAGGAGCAACATATGAGAGAGAAGCATTCCGTCGGTGGTGTGGACAGGATCTCACTTGCAGACGGCGGCAATTTCAATGCCTCGCAGAAGCATTTTACCTGCGGAGAGGTTGGGCCGGACATCCTTATGGGGTCAGGACATCACCAAAAGGCTACTCAGACCGGGGATAAGTCAAATGAAATATCGATGTCTGCCATGACTTTTCAAAGCAGAAAAAATTATTACACCAGGAAAGAATATAAGAGAGCAATTGGCCGCAAGCACACATTTGTTCAAGACAAGAGCACTTGTACTAGAAGACAGCGTTTAGTGTGCCATGAATGTGGAAAGTATTTTACCAGACTGTCTAGTTTTTTTTATCATCAGAGACTTCACACTGGAGAAAAGCCCTTTAAGTGCAGTGAATGTGGGAAATCTTATACCGGTAGCACTGGTCTCCTTTATCATCAGAGAATTCACACTGGAGAAAGGCCCTATGAGTGCAGTGAATGTGGGAAATCTTTTAGCAGGATCGATTCCCTTCGTATTCATCTGAGAGTTCACAGTGGTGAAAGGCCTTATAAGTGCCATGAATGTGGGAAATCTTTTACCACCAGCACTGGTATTCGTCATCATCAGAGATTTCACACCGGAGAAAAGCCGTATAAGTGCAGTGAATGTGGGAGATCTTTTACCAGTAGCACTAGCCTTTGTTATCATCAGAGACTTCACAGAGGAGAAAGGCCTTATGAGTGCAGTGAATGTGGGAAATCTTTTACCTGTAGTAGCAGCCTCCGTTATCATCAGAGATTTCACACAGGAGAGAGGCCTTATGAGTGCAGCGAATGTGGGAAAACTTTTACCATGATTAGATGCCTTCGTCGTCATCAGATAATTCACACGGGAGAAAGGCCTTACGAGTGCAGCGAATGTGGAAAATCTTTTACCATGATCCATTATCTTCGTCGCCATCGCAGTGTTCACACCGGAGAAAGACCTTATGAGTGCAGCGAATGTGGCAAATCCTTTACCACAATTTATAGCCTTCGTAATCATCGGAGATTTCATACAGGAGAAAAGCCTTACGAGTGCAGTGAATGTGGAGAATCGTTTTCCATGCTCTATTCCCTTCGTAGTCACCAGAGAGTTCACACTAGAGAAAGGCCTTATGAGTGCAGTGAATGTGGGAAATCTTTTATCAGTAGCAGTGGCCTCCGCTATCACCAGAGACTTCACACTGGAGAAAGGCCTTATGAGTGCAGTGAATGTGGGAAATCTTTTACCAAGAACCAATCCCTTCTTTATCATCAGAGAATTCACACCAGACAAGGCCCTTATGAGTGCACTGAATGTGGAAAAACTTTTACCGGTATCCTAAGCCTTCGTAGCCACCAGAGAGTTCACACTAGAGAAAGGACTTAGGAGTGTCGTTCATGTGGCAAATTTTGTACCCAAAATTCTAGCCTTATTCTGCACATAAGGCTTCACATGGGAAGAAGGTTGTCTATGCATAGGAAATGTACAATTTTCAAGGTCAGTCTTAACAATACTATAGGAAACTCTATTTGTCTGACTTGAATCTCATACATTCGAATGTCAAAAGTAGGGAGATTCCCTATAAACTTATCTGAAAATCATGTGTGTGTATGTTGCACTTTCTAATTTACACAGGTGTCCTGCCAGATCTATGTCCCCGAATGTGTCTGTTGCTGAAGCAATGTCACCTGTACCACCTATACCAGCGGTTCTCAACCTGTGGGTCGAGACCCCTTTGGCGGTCGAGCGACCCTTTCACAGGGGTCGCCTAAGACCATCAGAAAATACTTTCCGATGGTCTTAGGAACCGAGACACTGCTCATTTATTCGTCTCCAGGTGGATCCGCCCACATACGAGTACCCGGCGTATTAAAGGGTCGCAGCATTAGGAAGGTTGAGAACCACTGACCTATACGGTGTCCTCAGATGGCATCAGTCACCATCCTCATTGGCGCAGGGAAGCTAACTCTGTTCTCTGATTTGTTGGAGACTAGGACCAGCCTTTTCTTAGATGTGTATTTGCTACCCCTGTATCCGTAGGAAAATGTCTGGTTAATCGTCCTGCCTGATCTGGTATGAGTTTTGGCAATTTTCTTTAACAGAAGGGAAGCGGGACAACAAAGATGGATGTTGGAATTTCACTCATTTTGTGCCATTTTTTGCTTTATAAAATAAATGTTTCTTTCCTGTATTGGATTAATATACCTTAATTTTTTAATGCTGTACACCATGCAATGAACACTACTTCTAACCCGCACTACTGACATTCTCCATCACTTTCAGAAGACCAGTCATCTGATAAGGCCACAAGCCCTTGCTTTGTAGTGTTCCCCTATTTGCCTAGTTTCCGCTCATGGGTGTTCCTGGGTTGGAACATGTGTCTCAGGAGGCCAGATGCTTTGGAGCCCCAAAGCCAGTGCAGAGGGAAATAGGAGGGCAGTGATCAAACTCCCCGTGCCCTGGATCAGGCATCCTGGATTTGAACTTCAGATTCTCAAATACCCCTGGACTCCCAGAGAAACGACGCCTCTCTCTGGTCTGGGTTTCTGGTTTCTCCTGGGTGAAACAAGCATAAGGTGTGTTTCCACCCCTGAGCTCTTGGAGGTGAAGAGCTAAGGTTTATTTTTGCAGCCTGTGTTGACTTGAGCAACTCATCCCTCTGCCTGCACAGACATTCCCAGGCCAGGCACCCCTCACTCCCACAATGCCCACAAGCACCTTTGTATGTTATAGAAAGAAAAGTGGCTTTTAAGAATCTGATGTCCCGCCCTAGCTGGTTTGGCTCAGTGGATAGAGCATCAGCCTGTGGACTGAAGGGTTCAATTCCAGTCATGGGCACATGCCACAGTTGCGGGCTCAATCCCCAGTAGGGGGCAAGCAGGAGGCAGCCGATCAATGATTCTCTCTCATCATTGATGTTTCTATCTTTCTATCCCTCTCCCTTCCTTTCTGAAATCAATAAAAATATATATAAAAAAAAAAAAGAATCTGATGTCCCACCAGCAAGGAAGCAGGTGCTACAGGCCCTGAGGTGTCAGTACGGGGTCCAAACCTGGGAATCTCCAGATGACTCCTAGAGCTCCCTGAATCTCGGTTGACTGAATGTGACGTGAAGCTGATGATGGAGCTTGCTTTGGCCTTTGAAGATCAATAAAAGTAACACGGAGTACTTTTTTTTTTGCCAGGATTCCAGTGTGAGCTTTTCGAGCATTTTCTCTTTTAATTCTCAAAACAACCTGAGAAGTGGAAACTAATTTTGCTGAAAAAAATTCAGTATTAGAGAAATGAAGTAGGTTCCCCAAGTTTACACCACAGACAAGTGTCAGATTCAAGGGGCTGGATTTTAACCATTATTTTCTCCAGCATCAGACACAGTCTCTACCCCTGATGAGCAGCCCTCACTGGAGCAGGTACAGTATGAGGACCAGGGTGGCTCAGCTGCAGCTCCTGTTTCCATTGGGGCAATTATGCAGTTATGCATTTCCTCCCGTTCCCTTTATATCTCAGAGCACTTCCCTTGGCTTCCCTCCCTGTGTTCCGGGCAACACCATTATTTGTCACCTTTAGCAGTTTCTCCACTGGAACCTTCTCTGAGACTTAGCGACGATTTGACTGCTTTCCCTTTGATCCCAGATTGGAGTTTAACCCTCAGGAGACCTCAGTCATTGGGCTGGGTCTCTGCCCCTTCACCCACATTTGGGGTGTCCGGCTGTGATCCCATCCACTGTGATGAATTTCATGCCTCAGACTTTGCAAGTGCTGTTTGTAGGTGGCATGGACATTCACTCTTTAGGAGAGAGGACAACGGGATGTGAATTCTGGGACCAAATTTACGGAAGTGATGCTGAAGACCTACAGGATCCTGGTCTCATTGGTGAGTGCTCACCTCTCTTCATTCAGGGACGCACTGCTCAGGTGATTCTGTCCTCTCTATCCCTACTGGCTCTATGAGACAATGGTAGTCACCCTGTTTTCCCTGCAGCCCTGATAGTGTTCTGGACCCATGGCTTACTTTCCAATCTCCTGTGTCTGTACTATGGATTTTGGGGTGGGAACATAGTCCTGAACACAAACTCTCACCACAGTGCACAGCACACTGGGCCTCCACTGAGATCCTACTCCAGTATCTAGTTACGGAAAGAGACAAGTACACTTTTTAGGATATAATCCTATATAATAAAACCCTAATATGCAAATTGAATGAACGGTGGAATGAACGGTCGCTATGACGTACACTGACCACCAGGGGGCAGACGCTCAGTGCAAGAGCTGCCCCCAACCCGCAGGCCCTGACCAGCAGCAGTGGTGAGGGGGGCGGGGCCCAGGGCTGGCAAGCGGGTGACGCCAGGCCACCAGCCAAGGCAGATACCAGTGGGGGCCTCCCGATAGCCCCCGCTGGTCACCTCACAGATCGGCCCTGATTGCCAGCCAGGCCTGGGGACCCTACCCATGCATGAATTTTGTGCACTGGGCCTCTAGTCTATATATAAGGAAAATCAAAAGTAGGTCATTTTATTTTATTTATTTTTTAAAAATATATTTTATTGATTTTTTTACAGAGAGGAAGGGAGAGGGATAGACAGTTAGAAACATCGATGAGAGAGAAACATCGATAAGCTGCCTCTTGCACACCCCCCACTGGGGATGTGCCCGCAACCAAGGTACATGCCCTTGACCGGAATCGAACCTGGGACCGTTGAGTCCGCAGGCCGATGCTCTATCCACTGAGCTAAACCGGCCAGGTCAGATTACATATCTTATAGAACGGTTTTGTCTCTTATTAAATACATTTTTAGCAGCAGAGTTGGGGCTGTTTTCAGGCTGACCAAGCCCCCCCCTGGCGATGGAAGCTCCCAGCCTCTCCTTTTTTTCTTTTTTCTTTTTTATTCTGGGATTTATTTACCTTCTATAATTGAAACTTTGTAGCCTTGAGAGAAGCTCAGAGCCGGCCAGGACGGGCGGGAGGGAAGCTTGGCTTCCTCCATTGCCAGGGGCAACCCACTCCTGCTCACTCCAGCTCCATGGCCACAGCTGGCTGAAAGCAGGTATCTGGGGTTTATTTACCTTCTATAATTGAAACTTTGTTGCTTTGAGTGGAGCTCAGAGCCACAGCGGCAGGCGGGAAGCTTGGCTTCCTCCATCATTGGGGCAACCAAGCCTCCTGCTTGCTCCAGCTCCGTGGCTGCTGGCCGCCATCTTGGTTGGGTTACTTTGCATATAGTCGCTCTGATTGGCTGGTGGGCGTGGTTTAAGGCATAGCAAAGGTGCGGTCAATTTGCATGTTTGTCTTTTATTAGTGTAGATATATATATGATAGAATGCAATGGACATTTGATTTCAAGGAAAAAACAATAAATTTTCTTTAGATTAAAGAAAAATATACACTTATTTTGTTGTGTTATGTGTTTAATGTTTGATGGTAAATCCAATGAACGTCTTTAAAAGTGTACTTTTAAAAAAAAGTTTTATTATTTTGTGTGAGAAAAGATATGGAATTTGTTCGCTCAACTAATATGACCTACAAACCCATATTCCTTGCCTTGTGGCAATTTGGGGAACATGTATTTTGGAGCACTTCTAGAAATAAAAAGAAACAAAAACCTACTCTGCCACTGCGGTGGGGGGAGAGGGGGAAATGGCTTATAAATTCTAGATGTGGTGTTTCATGTTTATGTAGGAGTATTGTATTTGTCCAGATGTTATTTTTATATATAAAGTAATTGGAAATAGGTGCTAAACTATATATATGGGATGTTGCTTCTAAAATATATTTAAGAAGAGTATATAGATGCAGGCTATGTGGTGAGAATTAGAACAACATCCCTCATGTATCTTTTATATTAATAAAAGAAGTTGATATCATGTTAAACAGGACTGTGTTGTTACTGGAATTGCTTCCATTGGAGGATGTGGCTGTGGAGTTAAGTTGGGAGGAGTCCCAGCTCCTGAACCCTGCTCACAAAGACCTGTATTGGAACATGACGTTGGAGAACCCTGTCAATCTTTTTTCACTGGGTAAGGAGAGCTCCCTGTGTCATTTAGAGGTGCCGGGTCACTGGCCTTTGCTCTAACATTTGCTGAAAGTTTTGCAGTCACTGTGGTCATCTGAAGGTCGAGACTTTCAGCCCCCGCACTGGCCCCTAACAAAAGGGTATAATGTCCTCTATCCTGAAAGAGAAGCTTTACTTTGCATACGAGAAATTCTTTTGTGTCTAAAGTGTCATGTTTCCCATCTTCACATCCTACAAGTCTCCATATCTAGGTCTTCTATGAACAGGGTATCACACTACCAGACTAGATGCGCTGTCCAAGTTGCGACATGGAGAACAACCATGGATAATAAAGAATGAAATCTATACTAGCACTTGGAGTGCGGGAAACGAGTTAAGTCGGCTCGCGTGAATTGCGCGTACTCCGCGGGAGCCGTCTTTAACTCGGTTCATATAGATTTGCGGTGGAGTGCGGGAAACGTGTAAACTCGGGCCGATTGTAACTGCGTATTACCAAATATTTGTTTGTAATCCACCCTTTTGGTGGATGGAACAAAACCAAAAGACAGAGCCATCTTATATTTTGGCGGGAAATTCACCCGCACTCCAAGTGCTAGAAGCAGTCCAGGTGAGTGAGTGAGAACCAGCAAGAGAGTGGCCATAGGAGTCATATTCTAGTCATTAAGGGATGGTGTCTGCCCTGGCTACTTGGTTGGACATTGTCCCTTGTACCAAAAGTTGCCAGTTCAATTCTGGGTCAGGGCATATGCCTGAATTGTGGGCTTGATCCTCATTTGGGGGTGTACAGGAGGCACCCAATTGATGTTTCACTCTCATATCAATGTCTCTTTCTCTCTCTCTCTCTCTCTCTCTCTCTGTCCCTCTCCTTTCATCTCTCTCTATAAAAATCAATTTAAAATATTTTTAAAACATTTTTATATGTTTTCTTTTATTTCAGATAGAGGAAGGGAGAGGGAGAGAGAGAGAGAGATAGAAACATCAATGATGAGAGAGAATCATCAATCGGCTACCCCCTGCACGCCCTCCTACTAGGAATTGAGCCCACAACTGAGGCATGTGCCTTGACTGGGAATCAAACCTTGACCTCCTGGTTCATGGGTTGACTCTCAACCACTACGCCACACGTCCGGGCAATGAAAAATAATAATTTTTTAATTTAAAAGAGAGAGAAGGGTCACAG